TCACAACATCCCCTAACTCACACCCCACACTTCAGCACATGATTTATTTCCTCTCGAAGATCTCAAAGTCATTTCTTGTGTTGTTCTTTACCTATACATTGTGGTAGGTTGTCATGGCCACCACTATATGTTGGAAAAGAATTTCTCCTGTCCAACTTCTCTCTTTTTAATTCAAAATGAGGAACTGACTGGTCAACTAAGTGGATGACTTGTTTTCTAGTCAGATAAGTGTTTGCTTCACAGTGGAAATCAATTTACCGTTAACCGTTTATTGTATTTGGAAACATTTTTTTTCCCCCTTGGACACCTTTAGATTCTTGTTCAAATCTTTTTTTTTTTTTCCTGGATTCCAAATAAATGATTTTGAAATATGTAGGATTTATTTTTAGGAATAGTTTATTAGGTTTGAAAGTATCCTATGTGTATCAGGTGCATGTACCAAAGGGTCCAGAGATGCAATTGCATATAGGAAATAGAGTTCATCACACACTACAGGCTAAAGTTAATGGTTATTTATAGTTAAACAATGCCTCGCAGGTCCCCCTACCATGCACATGCACATGCACATTTAGAATGTAAAATGTTTCTTTCATTTCCTTTGCTAACATGCTATAGGTCTTATAACTTAAAAATGGCTTTTTATTTCTTTTGGTTAAATCTAGCTAATTTAAAATATTTGAATGGTAAGCCTTTTCTGAATAGTAGATTAGACCCCAAACTTTCCCATTGATTTTTATGGAATATTGCTTAATTCAAAATGCTTTCCTAGACAAAGAAGCTCTAAGAAAAACCTGTCCCTGGTCGACATTTTTATCCTTTATGGAAAGAAGGGAAGAACTCACAAGAAAGCATACTTAGACCATTGACACACAGGCCCATTGAATACCTTTAAGTGTATCCATGCCAAATTTCAAGTTCATGTTCATGGGTTCAAATAAGAAGAAAAAGAGAGAGCTAGCAAGAGATCAACACATACCTGTTTTGTGCCATTTTCCTTGCTATATAGATGTGTCTGATTCTATTTCTCTGTTCATGATGAGTCCATAAGAGCTGATCCTTTGTTTTATTCAATGTTGTATTCTCAGGACCTCACACAGTGGCTGGTATGTGGTTTATGATTAATGCTCAAGGGTGAATGAATTAATGAGTGAATGAATGAAAAGACTTTGAGCCAGAAGTGTTTCTTCATATTTTTAGTACATACTATGAATCCTAAAACAATGTGTTTTTGAATAGTTTTTACATAAATGATACTTAGTCAAAAAAGAAAGGTTTCTTTTAGCACATTCTTAAGAAGTACTATTGACCAGTTTAGTACTAGTTGTCAACTTCCTTTTTTAAAATTGTTTTTAATGTTTATTTAGTTTTTGAGAGAGAGAAAGAGAGAGAGGGAGAACTTGAGTAGGGAAGGGGTAGAGACAGAAGGAGACATGGAATCTGAATCAGGCTTCAGGCTTTGAGCTGTCAGCACAGAGCCTGACACAGGGCCCAAACTCATGAATCATGAGATCATGACCTCATGAAGTCAGAAGCTTAACCCACGGAGCCACCCAGGTGCCCCATAGTTGTTCAACTTCTTATCCTGAAGAGTGTAATTGTACAGTTTCTCACTATCTATGGGAATCAACCTTATTTAAATGATAGAGCCATGGCATGCTATTAACACTGGGACTGGCCCAGGTACAGCATATGTGCATAACCAGGGAAGGGAGACAGGGTCAGTTGGGGTTCAAAGAAAAGGCCTCAAAGCAGGTGGATCTAGATTTAAATTTTAGCTCTGACACTACCTAGCTCTATGGCATTGGCAATCACTTAACCTTTCTAGGCCTTTCTTTATATCCTCATCTAGAAAATGGGCATAAGAACATTCCAAACTTGCTAAGTTTGAAATAAGGATTAAGTGAGATAACAGAGAGCATGTCACTACATGTGTCAATATAATTTTTCCAGCCTCAACTAACTCCCAAGGACAGGTGTTCATTCTTAGTTAAGAAGCTAGTCAAAAACCTTTGTTCTTATATCTGAAAAACTGAGTTTTGGCTTTGCTGTGTATTATCTGGAATACCTCCTTATCTGTCTCATTTTTTTTCCACCTGTAAAACTAGAGCATATTTAGTGTGATCTGTCTACTTCATGTGGATTTAAGAACAGCTAACCTAACAAATGAGAGAAGAAAATAGCTTTGAGCTGTTTAAATGAAAGGTGCCACAAAAATCAAATAGAATTCTATAGATAGTCTAAACTCAATTTAAACCAAATCTGACATAAATTCATTATAAGAGTACAGGTCTCTGTGGCCTTATTCTTTGTGATAACCTAAGAACATTGAAATACTTTGCTGATGTGACAAGTGTCTAGAAACACCGTTTATCAAAACAAGATAAATTGCATTCAGAAAATAAGCGTATAACAGCTTCCTCTTGATGATCATTTCCATGAATCAAAAGTTTAGTGGTATTCTTAAAAGACATAGTTCCTGTGACAAAGCATTGCAAAATATGCCATTTAGTGTAACTATCATATTTCAAAACACATGCTCCAGGAATTGACGTAAGAAAACCGTAAAGTTTCAAGAATCAAAGTTAAATATGTGAATACAGTAAATCTAAGCTATAAGCCAATAATAGCTTCCCAGAATTTTCAAGAGCTACAAAACCTTAGGTATAACCCAGTCCATTTTGTTACAGATTATTGATTTTTTTTATTTTTTCATTTTATTTTTAAAAAATCAAATATAAATTTTATT